ACAGTCCTGTGACCTTTTTTTTTCTTGTGCAATATAGTTTGTAAACACCATCACTAGTGGCCTCGCTCACTCTACCCACTACTTGTGTAACGAATTCCCTACTGGCAGGCACTTGAGTTGTCTCTATGTAGTTTGTGTTTTGGTCCAGGCAGGGTTTCACTATATAGATGAAGCTGGCCTCGAACTCACGGCCGTCCTCCTGGCTCAGTCTTCCGAGTACTGGAATTACAAGGATGCGCTATGGTGGCTAGGGTAGAAATTTGCTTTGGAAATTTAAAACTCCCAGGGCCAGCCAAATAACTCAGCGGATTAAAGCGCCTGCAAGCAGGCGCACGGGCCAGGGATTTAATCTTCGCGCCTGCAGTGCCAGCCCCACCCCCGGGGCGCTCTGAGACGGCAATTGAGACTGGGTGTGGGGGCGCGCGCCTGTAATCCCAGCTCTTGGGAGGCTGTAAACAGGTGGATCATTACGAGTCCGATCTAGTAGTGAGACCCTGAACACCCTGTAGACCCTTCCCTAAAATACAAAAAAAAAGAAAGAAAGAAAAAAATTTAAAACTCGCGCCACCAGGTCCTGTTTACTACAGCCCCGCCCACTAGGCGTTACGCGCCCCGCCTCCCCGCCGTGAAGGCTGCTGGGAGAGCGCACGCACCGGAAACGGAAGTCCAGGGCTCAGGTTCGTCATTTCCTTCAGCGAGCGGTGCGGAAAGGTTCATTTTTATTTTTGGGTCTGCCAAACTTGCAGCATGAAAGAGGTGAAGAGCGAACGGGAGCGGGGAAGCCGGCGAAGACACCGTGACGGGGACCTGGGGATGCCAGCGGCGGCAGTTGTGGTGAAGCAGGAGCGGCTCAGCCCCGAACCCGCACCTGCCGCCCATCGTCGACCAGACTTTTCCGGCGGTAGCCCGTCGCTGCCGGCCGGAGAGCCCGGCCGTCCTGGCCACCGCAGCAGCAGAGCCCGAGGAGGCAGCCGGTGAGTGGAAAGCAGCTGGGATGGTAAAAGTCGTTGAGAAAAGAGGACAGCGCTGATGTCAGAAACAGACCTGTGGAAGAACGCAGCAGCCCGTAGTTAATCCGGAGGCGGTGGTGGTAGGGTGACTAAAGGATGTTTACTTCTGTGCCTGCCCTTTGCGTTATAGCTGGGGTTATAAAGGTCTAGTGACTCAACGGGCGCGATCTCTGCGATAGGAAGGAGGTGGGACGAGGAGGAGGTAGAGCCGCAAGACGTGCTCGTGGATTGAACGTGATTGTAGGGGCCAGCGGGGTGGTGGTGGTGAGGGAAAGAAAGGCAGGGGCGACTTGTGATGGTGCCAAGAAGCGAGACGGTTCCGTAGACAGTTACGTGTGCGCCTAAAATTCAGGGGAGGGGTCAGGGCTAGGAAAGTGAAGCCCCTGAGCCTCTTAGTAGTCAACAGAGACTTTTACAAATGTTATTCGGTTTATTAGTAAGTCTGATGCTTAAAAGCTAATTTATGTGGGGTAAGAGAAATGGAGGTGAAATCGTGTGTGTACCATTCTCCGAATAGGTCCCCGGCCAAAAAGAAAAGCAAGTCCTCAGGGAGAAGAAGCAAATCTCCTCGGAGTAAGAGAAGCCGAAGTCCTCACCACTCGACAGTCAAAGTGAAACAGGTAAGTGGATTGAGGAATGTCAATACTAGGTCCAAATCTAGAGCCTTTCCCCATAATAGCAAAAGTGTGTTTTCTCCTCTACCTGCAATGAGCTATTCAGAACCTGGGTGCTTGGGATTTTCTTGGTAATTTTCTTAGAGGAAGCCTTTTATTTTGAGGTGACTGCTGATTCACACCTGACATATTGGGATTTGTCAGAAATAATATATAAAAAAAGAAATAATATAGAGACATGTTCCCTATCATTTCTCTTGGTAGTAACATCTCACAGAACTATAGTGCAGTGTCACAACCAGAATATTACTGGTACGGTCCAGATATAGAACATTTCCATCACTGCGTCCCTCATGTTGTCTTTTCATAGTCACATCCATTTCTTTCCCACCTTGGTTCTTCTTTAACTCCTGGAGCTTTTCATTTGTTTTTCTTTTTTGTTGCTTTTTTTTGTGGTACCAGGAATCAAACCCAGGACCTCACATTTGCCAGGCAAACACTGTACCACTGAGCTACATAAATCCCTAACCGCTTGTTTTGTTTTTGAGACAACTGGATCTCACTATATAGTCCAGGCTGGCCTTGAACTTGCATGGAACTCCTGCCTCAGCCTCTTGAGTGCTTGCTCTTACAGGCATGCACCACCATGCCCAGCTCATTTATCATTTCTATAATTTTGTCATGAATGAAATCGTATGTAATATTTCAGAGTGGATCCTTGTTTTTCTTTTTTTTTTTTTTTTTTTTTTCTTCCTGTATTTAGGACAGGGTCTACAGGGTCTCATTATGCAGATTGGACTTGTAGTGATTCTCCTGTTTTCAGCCCCCCAAGCGGTGGAATTGTAGGCGTGCACAACCACGCCCAGTCTCAGTTGCTGACTCAGTGTGCCCCAGGGGTGGGGGGCTGGCACGCAGGCCAGGGATCTAACCCCAGCCACTGCTCTCTGCCTAAGCAGGCACTTTAGTCCACTGAGCTATCAGGCTGGCCCCAGAGTAGATCTTTTTAAGTCAACAAAATTCTTTGGAGTCTTACACAGGTTGTTGCCCAGATCAGAAGTTTATTCATTCTTTTTTATTACTGAGTGGTATCAGTGGTCCACATTTAGCCATGAGTCCATTAAGGAATATCTAGGTTATTTTCAGGTTGGGGCTTGTTATGCTTAAACATTTGTGTATAAGTTATTGTGTGAACACTGTTTCTTTGGGTTGAATACCTAGGAGTATTGTTGCTAAGTGGTAAGATAGTTGCAGATTTAAATTTTTATTTTATTTTATTTTATTTATTTGAGAGA